AGCACACTGGAACTGTCAAATCTCTCTGGAATCTCCAAAACCCTGCAGAACTGAGGAGACTTTTGCCTCCCTGCCCTTCCAAATCTCCAGATCCTGGTGCTCACCCTTCCTCACTGTGTGAAATTATCTCCTCCAGCCTCCACCAGTGGAATTCCTGCCAGTCAGCACAAAGCAGTGATTTATAACAGCTGAAGTGTTGATCTGGGGTTGGGGGGGGGGGCATGAAAATCCCAAAGGAAGCCTCACTTGACAATGTTTCTTTCCTACACTTCCTACCAGCAACTCGGGGGGTGGGAGAGGGGGGGGGAGGGAATGATCAACCGTGGAAAAATGTTGCTCATGTCCCGGGACAAGAGTTATGGTTCTTTGCTGGGCTTCCTTCCACCGTGGGGAATTCTGGCTCGTGACATCACCCCATTGTTCCTGCTGGGGCCGAGAGCACGCCGGGATCCCGTCTCCTCGATGGTTAAAGCACTTTCCTGTTTGCCCGCTCCTCGTTTCCAAACAGCCCCGGCCGCGAAGCCCGCACGGGATGTCTCCTGTCCTGAGCTGTTTTGTCCCTTTCGTCATGTCTGCCTGGAACTCCTCACAATGAGGTGAACAATGTACTCCTCCAGTCAGAAACAAAAGGGAAAAAATAACTGCAGGAGGCAAAGCCCAGCTTTGGCATTTAGGACCCTGTGTACGCCTTTGTTCCTTCTCTGGAGCGGTGTTTGTGCAGCACTGGCCCGGCCCTCCACTCCAGCCTGTTGTTTTCCTTTGTGATTTTAGTGTGGTGATAATGCCAGGAGGGTTGGCCTTGGAAAGAAGTGGCTCCTGCTCTTGACTGGGGAAACAGGGACAGTTGCAGCAGCAGTGAAGCTTCTCTGTGTCTGAGGGGTGAAGGAGAACCAGCTCCCAGTCTGAGCTGAACCCCCAGCACGTGGTGTGAGGGGATGGAAGGTTCGGGCAGTTTTGGGTGCCGCAATATAACATCTAAAGCTGTTGGAGGGTGTTTGAGGGAAGGACACAGAGATGCTGATGGGTCTGGAGGGGCCATGAGGAGCAGCTGAGGGCACTTGGTGTGCCCAGCTGGAGCAGAGCAGACTGAGGGCAGAGCTCAGCGGGGGCTGCAGCTCCTCCCGAGGGGCAGCTCCGATCTCTGCTCTGGGGGGAGCAGGGACAGCCCCCAGGGAATGGCTGGAGCTGTGTCAGGGCAGGCTCAGGGTGGA